GAAGTAGGCTAGTTCATTATTATATTGAAATTAAATAATTTGAGTTGATATCAAGCGATATCAAATTCTCACGAGATCTTAAATAATCTCCATGGAAATGAGATGTGCCATTGCTTATACAACAGCATACCAACAGATCAATGACCTTCCACTGATGGCCTGGTTCCCCATAAACTGACCTTTCACAAACTTATACATTGATGACAACGCCGGAAACAGCTTACCTATGTCTCACTTTTTGACTCCGTTAATAATATTCGACATAAAAAGGTCATTTCATATGTAGTTTTTGGTCAAAATAGATATTAGCAACAGCTGTATCCAAAAATATACTTTAGAAGCATTTGTATAATCGTAAAATATCTTTTTGGGTAAAGCTATTGCTCATATCTAAATATTAACAACAAATTGGCAAAATAAGGCTATTTTGACTGTTTTTCACCAAATGCAAGAATTTTGAAGCCCTTTGCATGTTATGCAAATATATATATATATGTTAAACAAAATTCAAATACTGCTGATTGATGGTCAAATGCATATGTCTTATGAACATCTGAAGTATGTCATTTGGAAAATGATTTTTGATTTTCAAATTATGGAGGCCAAAAAAGTGGCCTTATCATCATGATCATACTTTGTCCTTTGATGTAATTCACATCCCCTTTTTTATGTAGACTTTTAAAAATAATAAATTATACAATGTTGCAATGACAGTGAGTCCAAGGCTTTATTCATAAAATTTTGAGTACAATTATCATATATTCAGACTCAGAAATAAACCAATCAAAATACTGCATTTGGTGTTTCAAGCACAAATTTTATACTGAGCAAAGTCTTATGACCAAAATCATGCAAAATGCCATGACTCCCTTACAAATATCCTAAGTGAGAATCCTCCACTGGCTATTTATTGTGGTAAACAAAACTTTCCAGCTCTTACTCCCCTTCTGTGCCTCATTTTCAACAACCAAAATAAACCTTGAAAGACTTTGAGTGACCACACCCAGCAAAGGAGACATCAGAAGACTAACTTTTCACCTCATCTTAAAGAATAAGACTACAAGAAATACCTTTATTGTTCCTGTGATTGCGACTACTCCACAGGCACAAATAATTAGGCATTCTTTATGCATACATTTAAGTTCTTAGAGAGCATGGCTTACCCTCAATAATTTGGATAGTTTTCATCATACATATGTTATCAATTTTCCAGAATTGAAATTTATTCCAGATTCAAATCATTTCTTGTTATATGTAGTTTTTCTATTGAAAGACCTATTGTAACACAAGTTTTGAGATGAAAATTTATATTTTGCATTTATCAAAAGTGCCAACTGTTCTTTTCTGACCCTAGTGCCAAACAAGATTTTGTGAGGCAAACAATCCTGCCTTAAAATGATCAAATTGACTATTCATGTACAAAAATAGACAGACCAGTCATATTTTGGGTTCATTAACTTACTACATTCATTTTGGTTAAATTGGAATGATAACAGCTTAATTAGACATGTTAGACTGAAAAAATTCCAGTTTCTGTTAAGCATATATATTTCAATGTTTTTCTTCAAAATAAAGTCTTTATCAAAGCATGAAAATGCATGATCTGTAAAGTTTTTTTCTTCAAATTTTTGACGAATACGCTATTTCAATATTGTTATAATTCTCTGTATTACAAGAACTGTAAAATCCAATATTTCATTTATTAAAATAACATGAAATTAGCCAGTGTCATGATTCATGCTCAATTAAATTACTGTAAATGTACATCTCAAAAGAAATGGAAATTAACCTGTTTTCAGATAGATATATGAAACTGCTATAACACATGAATAGTAGTAGTCTTAGACAGAATATAACGATATGTTGAACATGTTAAAGGCATTGAGTTTTATAGAATTTCCAACAAATTTAAATTATGACTTATTAAGTATTTAGCTATAAGGTCTGAATGGGTCGTCTTCATTTCCGTAATAATTTTTAAGGCCATTTTTCTCTATTCTGTAAACCCCATCCAGACAATCAAGTATAACAACATTGTTTTTATCATATTAATATAATTACATTACAAGTATGTTTCATTATAATAGCAATCTCGCATCATTCTGAAATTAACCTTCATTTCAAAAGGAAATGTAACATTTGATGACACTAGCTTCCACAATAAAGTGCACAGGTAAATGAAAGAAAAACTTGATAGAAATCGTGTTTTCATGATCCTATCAAAATAATGTAATTATAAGTATTGAATGCTTCTTTTAGTAAATTTATGATAAAAACTTTTAGGTGTTAGAATTAACTCTAATCTGCCATGAACAGGCCATGTTATTTACATATGTTCATCAATATCAGCTAGACTTCATTTTATTTACTCTCTAAGATCAAGAAATTTCTAAATATTGATTCAAGAAAATCATTCTATAAATTATAATGGTTATATTCTCCCACTGATAGATTATTGTTGTATTATTTGGAGTGGTTGTGCTAAAATGAGCTAGTAAGAATAATAAAATTGCAGAAAAGGGCAGCAAGACTTATTTTAGATGCTGATCCTCTTTCATCATCAACACCTCTGTTTAAACTGCTTGGGTGGATGACGGTAGAGAACAGAATTTCATACCATATTCTGTTTTGATGCAGAAATGCCTAAAGAATGAAAAAAATTGGTGTCAACGTTATTCATTTTATAAAAATATACAGGAAATGCCGAATAAAAACAATTTAAGTTACACTGATTAAACTGGTTTTTATCTTCATCTGTGTATTTAACAACAGCTTGCGTAATAGCTTCTTTGTTAAAAGAATATTGGGAAAACACAAAACAATAAAAAAATTGAGAATGGAAACAGAGAATGTTTCAAAGAGACAACAACCCAACCAAAGCAGAAAACAGTCCAAGGCCACCGATGGGTCAACCTATTTATCATTTTTGGACAATTGTCAAATTTTTTTTTTAAATGTGAAAAAATTAAACAAAGCACCAGTTATTAGATATTTAGAGATGTTGTTAATCATGGGTGCAATTTGGTACTCCTCATTACAGAATTTTAGAATGTTTGGAGGTCTGTTTTGAACTCTTATTTTTCTAATGATTATGGATTTAAAACTAAATGTGTGCAACTATATAGTAAATAAAAAAAGATAAATTCAGAGGAAAGCAAGAAAATTTGATGTCATAATCGAATGTTGAGATCAAATGAACCACATCTTGATTAAATAAAAATAATCAACGACTGTCAAGTCAGGAAAAGTATAAATCAGCTAAGAATTAGAGAAATATAGATATCTATGGAAAAGTGGCTATATTAGATGCTTAGTAAAGATATTGGATGTAACCCTGAAAACTTTTCATTGATTAAAAAAATTAAAGTATGAATACATATTGTGACGGGATTGCTTCTCTTCATTAGTAGATACTTAGTCAGCCGTAAGCGGTTGAGCAAAGAAAGTACTTCTTTAGCTCAGTCGGTTCACACGCTGCCTTGTAACACAAAGGTCCCGGGTTCGAGTCCCGGTGGAGACAACAAATTTTGTAATGAAATTCATGCTCTCCGGTTACATTTGGCGCCCAACTAAAAAACCCATGGTAGTTAGAGAGGATTTCTAGCTAGGGTATGTGTGTGAGAGTCATAATGGTATGATGATTCTTGAGGTGGGGAAAGTGTGACGGGATTGCTTTCCTTCATTAGTAGATACTTAGTCAGCCGTAAGCGGTTGTCCAAAGGAAGTACTTCTTTAGCTCAGTCGGTTAACGCACTGCCTTGTAACACAAAGGTCCCGGGTTCGAGTCCCGGTGGAGACAAGAAATTTTGTAATGAAATTCATGCTCTCCGGTTACAATATATCGAATAAAAATCATTTCAGAAACAGATTCCATCACCAAATCAAATCTTGTGCAATACAATATTGACAGATAAAGACTTGCATTTTAAATTTGAAAATTTAACTGTCTCGAGTGGAAAATTACTTTATTACACTTGACTCAATGTAATCCTTTTTAAGATTTTGAGTATTGAGCAATTTTCTGATTTTGGTGGCCAAATCAGAAAATCACTCTTGACACAGAATCCCAAAAGGAATTAGATGCAGTGGTTCAATCTATAAATTCCTAGATATTTTCCAAACAGCAATTATCTATCTAATACGATACGAAAACTTGCTGGTTTTAAGTTTTAGGAAACAAAATATGGAGGATCATATTTCTAAGTTCTCATGGTTGGAATTTTTTAAGCAGATCACAGGGCACGTATTCAACATTGTAGATGTTTTCGATCAGAAATATATATGCCAGTTGACTGGTATTGGTTCTACATTGTCAGCTATAAAAAACAACTTGAACGCCTAATTAGTCTAATAGTAATAGCATATATTTCCGACCGAACGTGCCACTGTGTGCAGATATTGTCGAAGAGTTTGATAAAATATGTAAAATACCTTTATCCTATCACAAAATACTGTATGTTTAATTGTTTTCTGTCTGAAGCTGTACATTTTCTTCCCTTTTTACCTTTTTAATATGTCTAAAAGTTAAATCTTTTAAATTTAATAGTTGTGATTTGGCCCCACTGGGGGGTCTCTTCCTATATGAATATATATACATATGTGCCGCTGGAATGGGTCCCTTTTATGATACGTCAGATATATCAATGGGGTGCAATTTTACCGAGGAAATATATCAATAGGTAGTAACTGACCAATTGTGATATATTTAGGTACTATTTGAGCTGATAAAATATATGAATGGGTTATGATTTCGCTGTGAAATATATGTATAGGTAGGGATTTCACAATTATTCAATATATGAATGGGGGTGTTTTGTAAATCCCAGCTGCACAACTGTACCCAAAATCCAATGTTGAGACCCCCCCCCGTGTTTGGCCCTTTCTTTAATTTTTGTTTTGTTTTTTTGTATTCACTTCGAAACATTTATTGAAATGTAGGCATATTTTTCATTGTTAATTTTTATCCACAATCTACCTTTTAACGACATTTTAATTAGTACCTAATAAACGAGTAAAACATCTTCTTCTTCTTCTGGACATGTCTGTTTGCTGAAGTATTTTTTATCTCATATTCTTTCACATCTCGGTCCCCGTTCAAATTTCGCGTCTTACCCATGATGCATCAATAGTAGTTTCTATGGGGAGATAACTGTGATAGAATTAGCATTTGATCTTCTTGGGGCGTGTTGACAAAGGTACGAGTTTGACATTTGCACAGGTGTTCTCTGTGACGTCCGCGAACCTAATATACCGAGGTAAGTACACGCTAGTCTGTATATTTAAATAAGTTTTCACAAAAAAGTGACTGATTTTCTGAACTTTATTTTAATATCCCTCTCACCTGAGCAAGGTTTCAATATTATACTCCCAAGTTTCGAATTGCTAAAAATATTTTAGTTTCCCAATCAGACAAAAATTTCCACTATCATCAGATCATGTCTGTCTGTTTCTTTGCTGTAGTAGATATTTAATATCGCCTTCCATTTAGACCTATATTTCCCCAACAACCAAATTATGAAAGCCTAGTGGCTGCATGTTCTGCAAGTATGAATCAATGTTTTAAAAGGAGATATACTTGCGGTAAAGGACAATGAATCCCTTTAGGTATCCGGTGTCTGGAGCGATTTTCTAAGGATGGCCAAATCAGGAAATCGCTCCAGAGTCAAGACACAGAATCCCAAAAGGGATTAAGGGACAATGAGACGGCAACAAAGACACAATTAATCAGGAGACATCTTGAGGTCAAAATACAATCATTAACATTAGACAGGCAACAGACAGGTGTCTATACAATATGTCAAGCTCTAAATTGGTCTGAATTTTTTAATATTTTTATATAAATGGGTATTTTACCCAAAATCTGGTAACAATTTACAGTTGTTTTCCATTCGTTTGATGTGTTTGAGCTTTTGAATTTTGCCATTTGATAAGGGACTTTCTGTTTTGAAGTTTCCTCGGAGTACGGTATTTTTGTTATTTTACTATTTTCAATGATAAAATAATATATTTTGTATTTCATGAGAATGGTTGTCATGTCCCACATATTCAAGTAAATGGCAACATTTATTTCCTTTGGGACCATAGTTCAAATTAGAATTTAATAAAAGTCAATGGCCTCTAATTATTAGATTTTTTATGCCCTCAACTTTTATCCAGATGACATTTGAGTCATGGTGTCTTTGGGAAAAATGTTGCATTTTACACAAATATTTGACCCATGACTGCGAATATCTTGAAATCCAAAGCTCAGTTTTTTATTACTATAAATTGATGCCTGTCTTAGGATATCATACCAATAAATGAGGATAATACTTATATGAGGATCTTCCCCAACCTGTAAAAAAGTTGTGAATAAATTAAACAGAATTTAAAAAGACTATACAAGAAATGTACTTAAGTCTATAATAACGGTATAATAGAGATAAAAAACAACACAATGATAGTACAAATGTACCATATTACAGAACTCTCGATCCCAGCTACTGTAAACAAACTTTAAAGAAAACAATTATTTAACAGAATCTTTGACTTGTTGAAGGAGGCTACTTTCCGGCAGATACAGCAGCCCAAGTACATTGTACTACTTAACCTGCAGGTATGAAATCATGCCATCTAACACAGTAGATTTAATACAGTTACTTTAAAACAGTACATGAAGACATTCCCAGAAAATTTAGCTTACACAGAATTTCAATCCAGAAAAACAAACAATATTTTAATCTTGCTATAAACTATAATTTAAATAAGTAAGGGATCCAATTGATGCTTATCACCAAAAATATTAGACACACTAATTGAACAACACCATTATAATGATAATGTTTAGCAATAAGGCTATTAAGGCAAAAAGAAAGAATTAAAGTATAATGTTATTGCAAATATATTCTATTCAATTCTTCAATTTCAAATAAAAGTTTTTTCTATTACCTACATTAATATTGTAGTTGTTATTTATATTCTATATCATTGCTATATATGCAGAGCACTAAAATATGAAAATAGTAAACATACAATTTTCCAGGTATTTTATTTACCAAAAATTACCCCTGAATAAAGAGTAATAATGTTTTTTTTTAGTTTTAACGCTAGTTTGCTTTATCAAACTGACGTAGGGCATTGATTCGATATGAATACAAGAGTAAAACATTGCTTTCTCCAGGTTTTAATGTAAGTTAAGTTTTTATTTTATTTAATATTTGCGTTATAGACCTATTCTACATTTACAAGTTATTTATATTTTTTAAGTTTCAAAGAATGTTTTAATCCAGCTTTCTTTGGAAAGATGTTATATATTTTTGCTGCCTTTTGCCTTAAAGATCTTTTACCATTTGTGCATTGCAGTACTTGTTGATTGTACTTTCAAATCATACCCATAATTAAGATTTCATGCAATACAATTAAATATTTTTTATTATTTCAATTTTCTTGAAGGAAGTGCACAATGGGAGTGTTTGAGAAGAAATCATGTTTTGTTATAGCTGGAGCAAGCAGAGGTCTTGGAAGAAGTATTGCCATAAACTTTGCTAAGAAAGCGAGAAAGGAAAGTATAATGATACTGCTTTCGAGGGATACAAAAGCTTTAAAAGAGGTTGAAACAGAAATCAGGTCATGTTGTCAGGATGTCAACATAGTTGTCTCTGGATTTGATCAGGGAGATTTAGATGAAAGAAAGTTTCACAATATTTTCGAAAATATTTTTAAAGAAAACAAGTTATCTATTGACAGCTTTGAACAGGCAGTTATTGTGCACAATGCTGGGACATTAGGAGACAACAGTAAATATGTTAAAGATCTGGTAAATGTTTCAGAGTTGAACACACATTTTGGAGTTAACCTGACTGGAAATATTTTATTGAATTCTGCATGTTTGAATTTTTTTACCCAAGAGAGATTTGCACACAGATACGTGATTAATATATCATCGCTTACAGCGATTAGAGCATTTAAAAGCTTCTCTCTATATTGTACAGGTGAGTTCAGTTCTGTCATGTCTTTTGAGTAAAATTACATAATTTAAGAACCTTCTATATTTTTGGTGAGATCTTGTAAATAAATAACCATTATTATTATTTGATAAATAAATAACTTATTAAGTTAAAATTAGCTTAGAACCCCTTTAAGGTATGTTATTGATCTAAAAAGAAATCATGTTTTTGAGAACTGCTTCAACTTGCACAAAAGTTATATTTCAAAATAAGCTGTTAGCAATTCCAAACTGATTCCAGGTTCCAAAATTTTCAAAAATGTTCTTTTGGTTAAAAAATTTCTATGCTAGGATTTCAATGAAAATTGATTTATAGGTATTATATGCTGTTCCAAATAGATAACCAGTGTCAAATCTTACTTTTTGTTAAAAAATTACAAATTTTGGAAACATCTTTTTGTTTTGGGATAAAAATTAAAATTGATATGCATTCCAATTTGGTTCCTGATGTCAAAATTGTTGTAAAAACTTAGATTTGGTTATTGAATTACAAATTTTGAGAAATGTCAAATTTTGCTAGGATTTCAATGAAAATGATATGTACCCCTGTATGATATGCTATTCCTAATTAATTCTAGTTGTCAGTTATTATTGGTCACCTGCCATTTTCTAAATGGCAGCCAAAATACATAGTGCTTGAATTTTAACAAAGCTTTACATTTATAAAGTACACATTCTGAATTAATTTCTGATGGCAAAATTTATGAAAACTGACATCCCATGAACATGTATTGCTTTGTTTACATCATTATAAAATTATTATTTTTCTGTTCCTCACACAATAATAAATCAAATTACATTTATCATAGGATTTTACCAGATAAATTACATTATGCATAAACATATTTTTCAGTAAAAGCAGCTCGTGATATGTTCTATAAGGTAATGGCAGAAGAGGAACCCAATATAAGGGTACTAAGTTATGCCCCTGGTCCTTGTGAAACAGATATGCAGATCAAATGTAGAGAAAACACTTCAGACCCAGAGGTTAAACAAATGTTTGAATGTAAGTATTGATGATGCTTTTAGTTTTAATTTGCTTTAGTTCTTATTTGAACAAATTAGAGATGAGATGTATACAACAATAAACTAGCAACCTGACAAGTTGCCTATAATCAAAACACGCAAAACAAGTTGAACTGTTTGCTACTGCACAATATTATAATTTATACATGTATAAGTATTCAATAAGCAGGAAGGTGAAAAGCAAGGGATGTGAAAATGCATCAGACTGTACATTGTACAGAAGCACATATAAATTTTTAGAAAAAATTTGAGAGTGTTCTGATTTGCAGTTCCTGACAGAATTGTGACAAAAATTTTATTCATGGTTTCATGGGTCTAACCGACAGACAGATGAACCGACAGACAGGTGTAAAACAGTATATATTTACCTCTTTCAGAGGATTTTCTTTTTTTTTAATTTGAAGGTACACTTGAAATCCTATATGATTCTGAGATCTTCTACAAAAAGCCCATACACAGAAGGTCCCTGAAGATCAAAACAGTCCAAATATGTCATAGCCAATCAAAAGATATTTCACTGAAATAGATTAACAGAGAAAACTGAAGCCTTATACATAAAAATATTTTTGTTAGGGAATGACTGCTATAGATATTAGGCCTGATTTGTCAACACAACACTTAACAGAATATATTTTTCTTTCTGTTTCAGCAATGCACAATGAAGGCAATGTATTGGAATGTGATACCTCTATCCAGAAACTGGTTCAGATTTTAGAGACTGATACATTTGTCTCAGGAGCACATATAGATTATTATGATCTTTAGGGGGAAACAAAGAAGAAAAAACACATATTGTAGACATTTTAGTATTTATTTGTAGTTTGTTAAAGTATCATTACTTTTTAACCTACTATAATGTAAAAGTCTTTATGAAAACGACATCATTAGCTTATCTTCATTACGCAAATGTGATAGTATTGAAGTGACGTCTTGATAGTGATTTACCCAATAGTAGCACAATATAGGCTAATTTTTATAAACATTTCAGCTAAATTAGTATAGAGCTCAAGCGTCACCCTAAATATTTTTTTGTCAGCAAGTATTTGAACATAAAATAAGCTTCCTATGTAATTATCTTTTTGGCAACATTTGTGCTCTATATTATTTCTAAGCATCTTTGTGTCAAATTGTCCAATTTGGCAAGTTGGTAATTTTTCTGAATTTATTGTCTTTTCATGGCTGTAGCACTAATGAATGGCAAATATTTTAAACTAAAAACTCATTGTTTTATTTATAATGATTGATTCAACTTTTAATTCTGCAAATTTGAGAACATTTCAAATACCATTCATTGTATGGCCAATATGGCCCCATCCTTTCATAATGCTGAGTTTTTCACATTGAGATTATGTTTATTTGACTTTTCAATTATATTGATATAACACATAATGATCTTACTATTTAAACAATATTTGAAGGGTCTTCTTTGATAAATTTTCACGAAATTTTACGTGATAAGTATTGGTAACTTTTTTGGACGGGTGAACTGGACACAAAAAGAAACCAGAAATTTTTAGTTTTAGAAGATGTTCACAGAATTGTTATATGTTTTTGTCAAAATATAGTATTTTGCCAAAACCACAAATGTTAAATTAAAGCAGAAGGTAAAAGTCTATATTGAATTATGAAACCTTTTTTCAACTTATATTTTATATTCATAAAAACAAAAAAGTGAGACTGAGAAGTCATCAGATTTGATTACGTCACATATAAGGATATCCTATCGTGTTGACACATAGATTTTGAATTGTATTATTTTATTAATATTGCATGTATATATATAGCGTTTGCATTCCTAGTCTATTTTTTTAAACCCCAATCCAATGATGGCAGGGGATATAGTTATAGTTATGTATTTTCCATCATTTCAGTTATAATTTTATCTGTCTCTTATTTATTTTTCTGTGAACCAATTATTAACTACCATTTGTCTTTGTAATACTGGCTGAATGACTTGGCTTATCTTCATTAAAATAGGTATACATAAAAACCAGAAAAAGCTAAGGGGAGTGGACCAGTTCAAAGCCTTATTAGACCTTACTGGTTTAAAAACTTTTTAAATCTTCATTAAATATATCCGAGTCAAAGGTTAAGGATCAAGGACAAATCAGTGTTTGCATGTTAAAAGCATGGAAAGAAATTTTATATTTTTGGGGTCAGAGATAATTGGTCAGAGTTTCCAATGTTTATCCATTTATATAAGTCCCATAAGAAGAATTGCAATAGGAATCTGTTTGATGGTGCATTTGTTATTGTTACATGTACATTGACACTTATTTTTGTCAATATTTTTAAAACTTTACATTTAAGATACATTCCTTATTTGATATATTTTCTGGTTTAGTGGCTATCTGCATTATACTATTTTTGTTTGTTGCAAAAAATAAATCTTTTCGTTTGGAAGTATAATATTGGTTCATTATCTTTAGCTCTTTTAATGGGTGGTGCTAGATATAGTCATCCATCTAGTGTGTTTGCCTCGAGGTTCAAACCAAAGATTTTAAAATTGGTATTTGCTGCTTTTCTGCTAAGCATGTGGTATTAAGGAGTAAGAGCAAAGACTTGTCAGCTCAGAGCCAGAATAACATGTCAAGGTAGGGCGATATGTCTTCCTGCGGACTGTTACCTTGTGAACTAGCAGGTAAAAAATCCGGCTCAGCATGTCGCTCTAGTACAAAGCAGGGTTAATAGTCACAAAGGAATGTAAAGTTGGTATAATTCATCTGAAACCACTGTCACAAAGGAATGAAATTTGGTATAATTCATCTGAAACCACTGTCACAAAGGAATGAAATTTGGTATAATTCATCTGAAACCACTGTCACAAAGGAATAAAAGTTGGTATTCATCGGAAACCACTGGCAAAAAGGATTGTAAAGTTTGTGTCATCCATCTGCAACCATTGACCCAAAGGAATGTAAAGTTGGTATCCATCTGAAACCACTGACTCATAGGAATGTAAAGTTGGTATCATTCATCTGATACCACTGATCCAAAGTATTATAAATTGGGCATCGACCATCTGAAACCACTGTCAAAAAGAAATGTGAAGTTGGTATCATCCATCTGCAACCACTGACCCAAAGGAATGTAAAGTTGGTATCATCCATCAGAAACCACTGACACAAAGGAATGTTAAGTTGGCATTATCCATCTGAAACATCTGACCCAAAGGAATGTTAAGTTGGCATCATCCATCTGAAAGCACTGACCCAAAGGAATGTAAAGTTAGATGCATGTTTTTTTTTAGTTGTAATTGGCGTTGAACCAGCTTTCAGTAACTGTGAGTCCACTCAAATCTGTACTTTGTGTCTTTTGTGTTTTTGTTCGTTGTTTTTGTGGTTTGTAACGATCTGATGAGTTAAGCCCTTTTGAACTTATTTTTATAGTTTGTTCTTTTGCTTTGCTGTTACACCACTGTCCCAGGTTAGGGGAGTATTGAATGTCCACAAACATGTTTAACCCCACACATTCTGTTTGTGCCTGTCCCAGGTCAGGAGCCTTTCATACAGACCTTGTCATTTGTTGTGGTATATCATAATTGTTTTTCGTTTATTACATAAATTAGGCTGATATTTTTCTATTTTGGATTGTTTTACATTTGTTGTGTGGGGGACTTTTATAGCTTCTTATCCAAAATCTAAGTACATTGTTAGAATCAGCATATCAAAGAACCCCAAGAATTCAATTTTTGATGAAATCAAACAAAAGTTTAATTTAGGACCCTTTGGACCTCAATGTGGACCAAGTTGATAAAGGAGCCCAAAATCCAAAATCTCTAAATACATGGTTAGATTAAGCATTTCAAAAACCCCATAAACTCAATTTTTGTTGAAATCAAACAAAGTTTAATTTTGGACCCTGATTTGGACCAACTTGAAAACTGGGCCCAAAAATCCAATATTTAAATACAGGTTTAGATTCAGCATTTGAAAGAACCCTATATATATTTAATTTATGTTGAAATGAAACACAGTTTAATGTTATCCATATACGTATTAATTTTCTGTTCAAAGGGAAATAACTCAAACTGAATAAATGATAAACAAATAGTTCTCTAAAATTAGATATGATTTAACCACTAAAAAATAGTTCTCTAAAATTAGATATGATGTTATATATTTTCAAATTATAATCAATAAAATTAGATATGAATTAACCCCTAAAATATTGTTGGAATCAGCATATCAAAGAACCCCAAGAATTCAATTTTTGATGAGATTAAACCAAAATCAGAAACCTAAATATATGTTTATTAATAGACAATATAAGCTTAGTTTTTAAAGGAGTTCATTTCATCAAAAAAAAAATATATATAGCATTCAGAAAATTAGTTTATACAGAATAACAAACAAACCTACCACAAAATTCTTCAAACAATTTACCAAAGAAAAAAAAATCCAAAATGTCATTTATTATTAATACAATGTCTTTTAAAAATCTATAAATCTCATCTGTAAGTGTAATCAACCTTTATATATATAATTAACCATTTCTGTTCAAAAGGAAATAACTCGATCACATAATAAGTACCACTTTTGACTATTGGAAAGGGATATAACTCAACAACGAGAAAAGCTAAAATCCTGAAAATTGAACTTGACCTTTATTTAGTCACAGAAAATAACATATCTAAATTTGAAAAAATTTCGTCAAAGCATTTTCATGTTAATGAAGGGACACTGTTTGGCAGCCGCCTGCCCGCCCGCCGTACATCCCCAAATCAATAACCGATTTTTCCTTAGAAAAATCTGGTTAAAATATAACAGACAGATACTTTGCTCTAGAAACAGGAATGATATTGATAAAGTAATAATATCCATTTCAATTTCATTGCTCCAGTTACTGAAATGCATTCCAGGATAAAAAGACACCATAACCCTACAAGATATAACTTCATTTAAGGGGTGTTACTGCCTCCAACATAAATAAGTTCATTAGTTTACTTTTATCTGCATTTTACACTTAATTTACTAACATTTTTACATTGATCAGTTCTTATAGCTATATAACAGTTCCAATAAAATGATGGACATTAAGCAAGCAACAACCATTGAATATAATAACTTTGACCTACATTTCATGCTTAAGTGACTTTGGTCAAGTTTACATCTGAGTTCTGTTGTCAGAACATACATTTTTATAAATTGATGTTAGCATGCAAAAAAAGTCCATGTCTGTCATATTTGTTATCGTTAATTGTATTGTTATAAATTAGGTCGCTAGTTTACTCATTTTAATTGATATTGTTTCACATTTTTATTGTCAGGACCTTATATAGCTGACTATATGGTACAGGATTTTCTCATTGTTGAAGGTTGTACAGTGACCCAATTGCTTACTTCCACGTCATCTGAACTCGGGTACCTGTAGATATTGGCAATCATACCACATATCCGTTTTTTTAACTGGATTTTCGAAGGAAAAATCGGTTATTGATTTATTATATAAAATGTATTTTAAATTCTCATGGTCTGAAGGTCAATCTACTGATTTAATGTTTATGTAATGATATTTTACATGAAATACAATGAAATTTTTTTTGCAATTTATGTTACTTTTCCCCGTCTGGACCTGTTCTTTTAGTATCCTATCAAAACTAGAGTTTTCTAGTGATATTCTTAAATGGTCAATGTCAACTGTATATTATGATCCACAACATTGTCTTTAAATTCAAAAAGATTCTGTCATATCATTAAGTATTATCAAGAAATATAACCAAAACTGTTTCAAAAAATTAAGGGGCAAAACTCTTGGACAGTCAATGTCAAATCTGTGGAAATCACACTTCACCTTTTGTTTATGGTCCATGGCCTTATGTTAAAATTTAAAGAGATTTTGTCAAATAGAACATATGTATCCTATTTTCATGACATTATGTAAAATCTAAAATATTTTGTCAAGTGGTATTCTCCTCCTCCCAAACATCTTCGCTAGCCAAGGGTTGCGTTCCAGTCCCTTCCTCTCCACCCTTGGCAGATTAAGATAGAATTTCGGATCCACGAGGAAATGATTTTCATTGGTCGCAGATGCCTTCCTAAAAAAATAAAATTTTAGGATAAATAAGGGACATAAGTCTCATACCTGAAATGGCAAAAATTGTCAAAATGGAAATTATTTTGTATTTTATGGTCAAAGACATTGTGTACATTTTCAAAATTTGGTCATGGTACTTTATTTATCATCTTGAAACCAAAAGTCTGACTGACAGACAGTGGAATGGATGTACAAAAACATTTTAATGGTTCTCAGATATTGAGTTTAAATTTGTCTTTTTTACTCATTAAGAAAAAGAATTTGGAACACATGTGAAATGTTTAATCTTGACATGTGTTTAGAAGTTCTTAGCATTGTTTTGAAATATCATTGGTTTTGTTAAATCGTACTGCATTGAGTAGTATTTAGTAATAAACAGTAAAGAAACTGGATGTCTTCTATAATGTTTGCTGTTTAAGTGTTAAATTGTATTTGTTGCTTTCTTTCCATTTGTGAATAAGTTATGGTCTTTTTAATAGAAAAACAAAGGATATGGGGTATCCATTCATGACACAAAATCAGTACATGCACAGCAAAAAAAAAACACATAATAAGCAAAGGAACAGCGCCTTTTTTTGCTGTTCTTCATCTTAAAGTCACAGTGAGGCCTTCAACACAGAGCAAAAAAAAAAAAAAAATACTCTCACCTCACCTCACTGCAAGTTTTTGTCAGTATGAATGATTTCACACTTCAGTGGCATTGTGCATATAAATATGCCTTTGTTATTCAATCAAGAAAATATCACAACTATAACAAAAGCATTATTTATCAAGAAAATATCATAATTATAACAAAGGCACTATTTAATCAATCTACATAAATTTATAACTTTACATAAATCATATACTGATACATATATTTATCAACAGTATATTTTCCCCAACTGACACCCTGTAAGTATAATGTAAAACTCCCATACATATATATATATATCACTCCCACTTATCAAATTCACCACATTCACATATACCTTAACATCCCCAAACAAATTTATATGAATATTGTCTCTTCAACAGCTATTAAAATCTTCAAGGAATGCATGATTTGGAATTTGTTACAAAGAATATAGAACACACATACCAACAAAACTCATATCATACATATATAATCGAGAATAAAACTAAAACATCAATCTTTAATTATAAACAGTTTCTAATACAATCATCAAGTTTTGAAGTACCAGTAACATAAAAATTGTACAAGAGTCAGATAAATTAATCAATAAATGAATGACTTTTCAAGGAGAAATTTAAAGGTCAAATTGAATAAACACCACAGAGAACAATAGTTATTGTATATTTAAACAATGGGATAGGTGAACTTGCAAAAAATAAAATAGCTGGACAAAGAGGAACTCAATCTGGGGAAAGGTTTCATTTCTTTTGGCAATACATTTTTTTTAATAAAAAAAAAATCAAAGAAAAATGCATTTGATTAAGACTGAAAAAGTGAAAATTGTTGGGTTGACCACAATTTGGCCTGTAAAATATTATTTAAAACTATTAACTAAGTGCAACATCAAATATGTTTACAAATACAGACTGATAGAGGATTTCTAGGAAGAGACTGCTATGAAAATCTTAAAAAAAATAAATGCCATGCATCAATCAGATAGAAGTACATTAAAGGAATGAATATTTAGACTTTATAAGTATATTATATATACAAACAAAAATATGAAAATTAATTTTCAAATAACAAAGAGCATCATTTTTTATTTCAAACACAAAAAAAATGGATAAAAAAGGGAAGGTAATTTTTTTTAATTGTAAAATATGGTAACAACCATGAATGCCCAAAGTATAAAATATTATACCATACTGTAAATAAATTTGTTAATAATTTGATTTTGATTCTAAATATTAATGTTTCTGTTTTTCTATAGTATTTAAGGTATTTGACATACTGTTACCTTTATTACACAGAATTTTACCAACTTCCCATAAATAAGAGCTATTATAACATATTATACATAAATAAGAGTGCACAAAAAATATTAGTTGCCTTCTAACACTATCTCATCTGAATGTAAAAAATAATATATATCACATAATGAAGAATGACTTAATGAAATGAATGCCAGTTGTAATTATAACCTATTTCTTGAGACATCAGTTTATGATAAGGTCCATGTGCTGTAGCATTGATTAAGGGTTCATCTTTAAACTCTACAGTACATCCAGCCTGTGTTTTACATGGTGCCATTTCAAGTTCAAACATTATTACATTGTTTACAGTATTTGGAGCCAGGTAAGGCTTTGGTACAAACAGTCTTATTTGAGGTCCAGCAATAGGCCAATATCTTCCTATGTTATAGGCCATGTTACTTGTAATGATTGTCTGACCCTGAAAGTAAAAAACAAAAACATGAATCATATACTAGTAGGTTTATAATATACTGATTTAGCTTATCTGGAATTAAAGTAAATTGAACACAAAATTAAATTATTTTATGTGAAGTACAAAACCCTTGGTTTTCATCTTTCTAAAGCAGATAGTTTGGATAAGTTGAATCAAAAATTGTGCCATACTCATCAAAGTAAAGTCAATTTTAGATCAAACCAGTCACACTTACTGACCGATTGTTGCTTTCCCAATAAAGAAATTAATTTAATGAGAACTGACTACATTATGTTATCAGCATCCTAACAATAAAATAAAGTCATCAGAAATTAACTTATTGATTATCTATCAATAGCCATTGTGGACTAAGTAGATATCCTAGGGCTTGGTTATTACTGGTCCTTTTATCAAGTGGTTACCTTTTATCAGCAAGTTGATTATAGATGTAAAGACAAGTATTAAGGAACTCTGCAACTGTAAGGAATAACCCAAGAGTATAATTGTGTTCAATTATTACCATTAACCAGAGCATAGAATCTTCATATGTATCTTCTGAATTGTTAGGAGTTATACCTGGTGTGTAAATTAATTACCTTTGACCAGGTAGTGGGATCTAGATAAGTATCTTGAGGGTCTGTAAGGGCTGGCATCTGTCCTACATAAATAGAGGGTGTCATAAATCTACCATCCTTACTGTAATAAGGTGTTCCAGTACTGAAAAATATTAAATTAAGTATTAATTCATCTAAGTTCCACTTGTTTATACAAACAAGAATAAACAGCTGCGCCATGAGCGCATGATACACCCGTCGTCTTGTATGTGAGGTTTTATGCAATAATCATTTATTTGTTTCTGAGATACGGCGCGACATGTGAAAACCCCCCTTTTTTTATAACAAAAACAATAACTCTAAAATAAAATTTTGAATCATCACCAAAAAGTATACAGATCTTAAGATAAATATATATATAAGAAGTGTGTAAAGTTTTAAGCAATTATAATAAATCGTTTTTGAGATAGGGCGTGACATGTGAAACCCCCCCCCCCCCCCCCCCCCCCCCCTTTTTTTCTAAAGATTCTTCATTACAAAGCAGTAACTGCAGTCACTGATCTGGAAGAAGTTGCAGATACAAATGACTAAGAAATAAACAAATGGCTGATGAATGGACAAAGGAACAAACAAGCACAACAACCACTACTTACCTCCCTTCAATAAGCAGTGGTATAATAATTATTAGTTTATCTTTCTTTTCAAAATTGTGCTTAAAACTGTTCCAAATGAGCAAATGAGCAAAACAAAGCTTTCAACAATATTTTAAAAGCCTTTCCTATTAAAACTAACAGCAATATACTCATGGTTTCATATAAAAAGGTAAAAATTCAACTTTTTTCCTAATGCATAATATGTTTAAATAATCCAATTGCCCCAAAGTTGGTCATCAGGTGCAAAAAGTGTCAATTTAGACGATTTTTCACCCTATTTCTTGACCAGGAAGACCAAGGGATACTGATAGATGTATCACACTGTAGTCTGCATGTAGAGCGGACCCTAGTGAACACATTTATCACAACAAAGCTTAGGTCAGAGTCAAACTGATCTGGTTACAGCAGTCTAAAAGAAGGTCATTTGCTCCAAAAATCCGGAATTTCTCGATTATTCCTAATTTTTGGCTTCAACTGGACCTGCAACCGGAAGGTTCACTAAGTGGATTTCAATAATAAACACGATCAGTAGTTATATTCCAGCGGGTTTACACTATATTTGAAAGTTTTGGGCCTCTGAACTGCGTGTGTCAGATATCGAAGGGAAGCCTAACCCTCCAGAAAAACCAGTTTTATCCGATTTCAATTTTACAAGTTTGTATTTGAGCTCAAAATGCACCTTAAACACGAGAAACATGACAATAAATAGCCTCAGGTTGTGGGAACATGCATCAACTTCGAAATTAATGTCATAAAGTTGACCTCTAAAGTATGGAGAGCCATTGGAGCCAAATAACGGTAGTTTGGGTAAGACCGTCATATTAAGGTCACCGCATGGTAAGGGTTAATCAGTGAAAAATAGCATATAACTTCAATACTGATCAAAAGGAGATATATCTTTCATTAGTTGAACATGCTTAACACTACATGCACTTAATTAGAACTTGAATCAAAGAAATAATTTCAAGGTAGAAAAATACTGAAACATAGCTGGTCATCCAACACATTCTCTGTCAGAAGACAAATTGATTGAATATCTTTCTTATCCTCTGTTTTTAATATGGAAACAAGACAGAATTAATAGCAGTGGAAGTGATTGAAATAATATACTTTAAACGAGGACAACAAAGGTTAACTCCAACAATATTAAGTCTTGATTGTCTTATGGTCTGACTGTACTGTTTTATACCACTTTATATCTGTAGCAATGGAAGGTTAAAATCAATTTCTAGAATTTGGAAATCTATCAGCTTACATCAAAGTATATTGTCCCCATCTTTCTCATCAATATAAAATTACCGGAGATATTTTCATGAAATGTAATGATGTCTAGCTTTTATTTTGCATTTATTCAGCTTAAATATATATATTCATTATGTACCTTTTAACTGTATCTGTACTGGGTACATATAACTCTGGAGACACAGGATACATTTCCCAGTCTGTTAATATTGTGGTTCCTATGGTAACATTATGTATGATTCCCTGTAGAAATAACAAAAAACAAAGAGGTTTATATCATATGCTTTTTTGGTAAGGAACTTTTTATAAAATAATGACATGCAAAATCATTTTTTACAGAATGTAGCATTCAACAGAAAATTAGAAATCCATGCATATTTCCTTTTCAAGTTTTGTTCAACATGTTTTTAATTAAGACCAAATCGGGATAAGTAAAATATATATATTTATTTATTTATTTAGTTTTATTGAGTTTAACAGATTGATTGTTAACATCAATTTATGTCCATTTTCAAAACATAACAACAACAATAATTTATGCACACAAACATATCTGAATTCACAGTACTTATGTATAGGTAGACTCAACTTGGTTTTGTAGATATATTACTGAAAAGACCATTTTTTATATTTTTTTGACTCAATTTATAATATTGTACTAACAATACGCATTTGAAAAGCCCTTATATATGAATAAAGAGCTGTGCCATGAGTGCATGATACGCCTGTTGCTTTTTCAACGAATAAAGTTTCATAACTCCGCAATGTCATATCAGAAATTTATAAAAAAACTAAAGGGAGGTTATTTTAATAGGTATAAACCAGTCACCAAAGTTTCATGAAAACTGCTCAAAACACTTTTGAGTTATTGTCAGAAAACTGGAAAATCTCCCCTTTTTCATGAATAAAATTCCATAACTCGAAAACGTAAAATTTTAAATTGATAAATATCAAAAGGGAGCTTAAGTCAATAGATGTAAACAATTCATCAAAGTTTCATGAAAACTGCTCAAAGCATTTTTGCGTTATTGTCAGAAAACTGGGAAATCCCCCTTTTTTAATGAATAAAACCCTGTAACTCGGAAACGTATCATAGAACATTTATAAAAATCGAAAGGGAGCTTAAATTAATATATATAAACAATTCACCAAAGTTTTATGCAAATTGGTTAAAGTGTTTTTGAGTTATTGTCGGACATGTTGACGGCAGACGGACCACAGTATACCATAATACGTCCTGTAAACGGGCGTATAAAAACTAATTCAAAAAGATAAAAAGATTTTTGTTCTATCTCAGATGAAAGTTGCAAACCCATATTTGATATCTGGATTATTGAATTTCTAGGTTGACCTTTATAAATAGCAGCCATATCTAGTCTGGCAAATATGACATTTTTGGAAATGGTGACCTTAATTTTTGTTACTGATCTCTGATAAAAAGTATGTTTAATTTTATAAATTGTAACTTGGATGGAGAGTTGTCTCATTGGCACTCATACCACATCTTCCTATATCTATATAACATAAACAGTACCAAACCCTTGGTTCTCCAACAAAATGGAACTAATAATTTCTAGAGAAAAAAAGGCATATCATAGAAGTGTTGCTGATTTCTAGTCTGAATTTTATGTGCAGTTACTTATCCAACAACTAAATATATTTTCAATTTCAAGAGATACAAATATACCTTAGTATTGTTATTAATGCCAGCTCCAAAATTTATATGTCCCTGGTTCTCCACCAATATATCCAAGGTTTGACCTTTCTTTGCTGTGATACTTAAAGATAGATTGTGTATTCTTTCCCTAATCACCAGACCAACAGGAACCTAAAAAAAAAAAACATTATTTGCTAACACCAAATCATTTTCCAAAATTGGTTATTGAATAAAATATCAACAAAAAATATTAATAACAGCAAACATTTGACAGAAAAACACTATGCATATTCATATTATTATAGTCATCATTTACTGAGTTTTTCAAGTCATCACTGGTAAAACACTGCATGAATAAATTTCAGGGTCTCTTTTCAAATTCTGTTGTTTGACTGATACGCCTTTTTCATACATTCTTGTGTATAATATTATGTTCAAGGGACCGAAAACGGTCATATTTGCCAGTCATGTCCTAAGATGAAAGCTATATGTCCTAAACAAGTAATTGGGATTTAGGACAAATTTTATTTTTTAACAGAAATAATTTCTGTCATTTCATTGACTTAATGTTTGAAATCGGGTTTCTTAATCGCCATTTTCCACTTGTGATCACTTGTTTTTGTTTATAATCCCTTTCCTGTAATAAAACTGCCACTCCAGTAGTTTGATAATCCTGAGAGCCCTCCTAATATCTATATCAATGCCTCCGGGAAACATTGGCTAATGATCGCTAATCACTTTTTACCTGTGGTTTTAATTCACAACTGACAATTGGTCACATTGATCACAAGCTCAGAATAATATCTTTAAGAAATTAAAATTCCCTTACAAGTGTATTCATTATTTAATTACTTACAGAAAAGACAATCATCAATTCTGATTTAAAAATAAACCTTACTTTAATTGACGTAGAAAAAAAGTATTTTTTCATGAGTAACACATGTGCTTTATTCACTATGTAATACGCATGCGTGAAATTGTCTTCAGCAAATTAAATATTTAATCGTAAAATGCAAATTGATTTCATGCTAAAATAAACGAGTGCAACTATAATCTGTTATATTCAAACACTTTTAAAGGTAATAAAATAAAAAGAAGCCGGTGATTTCCTGTCAATTTCATAAACAAAACGAATCCCGGAAATGAATCCGGAATTATTCGTACTTTAATATTATCGCAAAACTTTCGGTTTTAATTTTGTCAAATCGAAAGAAACGTAAGCAATGTCTGAGAAATTAACCATTTTGAGTCATTAAAATCATTTCAAATTTTAAACTGTTGCCTTCCCTAAACTGTTCTTGAAGGTTTTAAGAAAAATGGTAAGAAATCTACTTAGTAAATGCGATGAAACATCAATACAAGTTCGTTGATGCTATGAATCTAGTTTGACATCAACAATTTGAATGGGGCATCAACTTTTCAATCATCTCAAAATGACTGAAATTGTGTGAAAAAATTTCCGGATCCTTGATTATGTTTATTATGTTTATTTGATTTTGAATATTGTACAAAAATGTGACAATCTCTTTTAAAAAAAGACAATGAATGAGCTATTTTTCAATAACATCTAATAAAATAATGCAATCATACCTGGTCTATCATAACATATCCTCTGTCTCTGATACCAACCACTGACAGATTCTGGGCTGTGGGGTAATCTTGTTTGAATATGTGTCTATATAAGGCATAACCTTGATACTGAAAAGACAGTGAGTTATATTATACTGAGTGAAATATCCCAGCTAATCCTGCAATTTTATCCTTCAACATATAATATCTCAATTTACAATGCTGATCATTTTTGTCTTAAGGTAATCTTGATTTTAACTAAAAATGTACAGTTAATGGTTGTAAGTTTTTTTGTATTTTTTTTTTTTAAATTCTGTTTAATGAACAGGCAAAGTCATATATGTGTATGTTCCTCACACACCACACATCAAATTTGAAAAAATGTGAACATTCGAATACAAATCATAATTTCAACCTGTCAGTTGCTCCACACTTTATGAACATGGATTTAGAATACATGTACTACTTTAATAGCAATACAGGAGAGTGACTATTTTTTTTTATATTCCTTATACACTGGTTTTCTGGACAATGTTACAGTGCCATCCTTAGTTTTTTATTCATACCTGACCAAATGCTTGCATATAAACAGGATAGGTTGCAGTCACTGGTTTCTGGCTTGGTTTTCTCAATTTATCCAGTAAATCCTGAACTGTTCCTGCCTGTTCAAAACGAAATCATTAAATCTTCTCAATGTTAAAATGATTAAAAACTTCAGATTTGCTTTATTTAAATATAAAATCAAGAACTGTCCATTTAGGGATTAGATATAGGTCAAAGGTAACCAAAAAAATGCTCTTGACTTGGTAATTGTCAATATTCACATGCTGTTTAAGTTTAATATAACCTCAAAGATTGAGTAAAGAAGCTACAGGATACAGGTACTAAAGTATGATTGATAAATATAAACATAGCAAAAGCAGGAAACCATAGGGATGTTACATTGCATCAGTTTATTTGTATAAAATAAAATGCCTGATTTATATAGGATTAATTTCTATTATATAGAACATATAAAAAGCAAGAAAACAACTGAAGAAAATAAAAGATGAAGTACTAATGTAGCTACCATTTTGGATTCAAATCTTTTTAACATAGAATGCACATTGTACAAGTATATAAACACCAATCATATCTTACTTACAAACTTCATTTCAATTTTCCCATAAGCCATCTTTGGGGTATTAGCTGGAATAGGCATGGGTGGTGTTTTCACATACTGTGGAAATATAATCATACAAAATTTGAATGTTATGGTAAAAATTAGAATTAACAAATAATAAACTACAATATGTAACCTCTAAATCTGGAGAGTTATATAGAGCAGATATAGAATATTTGTAAACAGAAGCTGCTTGACAGTTGTCTTACAACCATAAATGAAACTAAGACTGCTATCAATAATACATTTCAATTACCAATTAAACCCTGTTAAATGTCAATGCACCTGTCCAATGTCAGAAATTTCATCTGTAGTTGTTCTTGTTGCTTTATATTATATTTTTAATGTTTTGGTTGATATAGTGGAGTGTTCTGTTTGTTAGTTTTCATGAACTTGTAGTTTTTAAAAATGCATTTTGGAGTTTTTTTTTTTTTATTACATTTTTTAAGTCTTTGAGAATTTGGTGTTGGTGTCAGATATTTGGTTATTTCTGTTGAATTTATGGAAGATTTAGTACTTACCATACCATGTCAGTGCTTGTCAAATGTCGAAGGCTGAATGAATAGCATTAATTGTTTATCTAGCTTACTAGTATTTTTTTTCTCTCATTGCATTTACTCTACATCTCTCATATTCATTTTATTTTTCAGTTTTGTCTGTCAACTTTCTCACCTCAGTTTATCCCATATCTTTTTTATCCCTAGTCAGAATAATGTGTTTGAGTAAGATGACATGTCTTCCTGCGGACTGTTACCTTGTGAACTAGTGTTAAAAATCTAACTTTGAATATTGGTCTAGTACAAAGCAAACTAACATGTTCTCGTTCTGAATATCCATTTAAATATAAAAGATGAACAGTCCTCATTAAAGTATTTCCTATCCCTGATCCTACCTTTGAAATGACTTGTCTGAGTGCCAAATATTTATCAGTTACATCCCCTGCTTCCGTCAATGGACCATCATAGTCATAACTTGTAGGTACTGGCAAGAATGCTGGGTAATTTGCTCCTACAATGTTAAAGTTAACATCCTTTCATAAAATATACAGTTCACGTCAAGTACTTTTTGTATACCAAGTTAATCTGATGAATAATTTTCCTATATTGATGCTTTAACATGGACACTGTAGCTAAAAAGAATCAACTACCATTTAAAAAAATTAACACATGTTAAATAGATGTACTATTCCTCAAATTGGAATATCAAAATTCAATTTTTTGTATAACTTTATTCACAGTATTAAATCAAATGATCTTAAAAGTATACCCCGGTTATTTTAACCAAACTTCAACTTAAGCAAGATTACATTTGTAGCTTGGTACATTTTCTTACCTTCCTTCTGGCATATTTTAAATTAAACTCAGTAAGAAAATTCCACATTTTTGAAGCACTTAATTGAAAGTGTCCCCATGCAAAAATCTCCACATTAAAAACTAAACAGGAATTTAACATGATATGAAATGTTTTTTCTCCTATAGATTTATGATATGAAATGTTTTTTCTCCTATAGATTTATCTTTGCAAGTTATCGAAGTCCAAGAATATCACATTAAATTGGTTTAAATGCATGCAACATATCAAAAGTACAAATAAATCATACTTATATAGTCTGCCCCTGTGTCAAATTTGAAGCACAAAAATACATTAATGTTATTTTTTCATTGTAGATTTTGAATCAAATTAAAGATGGAATGAATGAATCTGACTAACATAAAAGTTAATAAATAGAGATCTTGCCAAAAATATTTCATTTAGAAAGTCTATATAATTGTCCGCCATCATTTATTATTCTTTGATTAATACATTCAAAGTATTTGTGTTATTCATTTTTTTTTTAAGACATAAGTTAGCAATAAAAATGTTCAACGTATAAAACTGATTTTGCTTGCTTGTGTTGACTTACCATTCCAGTAGCCAAAGTTGGTGCCACCTTCAAACATATACCTTTAAAAACATAAGAAACAGTTGATTAATACAATTTCAAAAGCATTTATATTGTAATTCTTAAAAACTATTTCATTTAAATCCTAGATTTCAAAATCTTGGTTCTCTCTGGGCACTCCAGTTTCTTCCACCAATAAAAACTGGCCGCCATGAAATAGCCAATAATGCTGAAAATGGCATTAAGGTAGATGGGGGGTCTAAATTAAAATCCATAGAATTTTTTAATAATTTGTCAAAATGTAGTTTATGTCATACTTTTTTCAAAAATATAATAAAAAGTATGGGTCACCGTGCTTTTTTTTACGCTACAGCTTGTGCAAAACTGTCAGATTTTGTATAGATTATGCATGGAAAATCCAATTGTGTGTGATAAAAAGAAAATTACGCCATAGAATTTTAAGATCAAATATGAGAAGATAGCTCTAATAATATGCTTTCAGATAAGAAAAAGAAAAAATGGGTTCACCGGACTCATTTTCTCGCTACATAATAAAATAGGTAAATTCACAACACATTCTATTATAAAAGTTACTTTATCTGAGTTATGTTCCCTTATATCTGAGTTATCTACCCTTATGTGGCAAAGTTGGAAAAAAGTGAATCAAACAAAAATATTCTGTTTTTTGTAAACTACAGCCGTAAATATGATAAAACACATAATTTTCTATATTAATATGACAAGTCTTACACATAAATTACATACTACTCCCGAAATTTGCACATTTCATTAAAGATCTAGACCGATTGCTATATGCTATTTCAAAATCCAAGATGGAGGAAGACACCCTAGCTACCTTAAATAGCAAAAATCAAACAATCAAACTCTTCTTCCAATAGTAAAACCTAGCAGGTCAGTACTTGTATCTTACTAAAAAAATTTGAGACAATCATTACTTAGACTTATAGCTGTCACCAAGTAAATCATTCATGATTGTAAGTTTCTAGGTTCTATAATTTGCAAAACATTAAATCATTGTATATATCTGTTTCTCTTCTTGTACTGTTGACAAGCTTCCTTAAAATTGCTTATTTGCAACATTTACAGACCATCATATTTAAGATGAGACTACTATAACAGTAGTCTCAGACTTATGTGATGATTCTGTTGATATTAATGTTTATTATCTAAGTCTACTCACATGTTGATATTAGCACCATAGGCTAGTAACACATCTAAACTCTTGGCAACAATATCTAAACCAGTGGTTGAATGTTTGAATCCCCAATGATCTAACCAACCAGTGTAAAACTCAGAGTTAACCTGTAGAACAAGGTAAAAAAAAACACAATTAGTTTGTTGAAAGATTTTTTCTGTAAATTAAAAAGTGTGTGTTTAAAGCATGCTCTGTACCACTTCTGAACTTTTAATTGCTTTGTTGTCCTTCATGTGTCCTTTTTTGGCAATAAATTAACTTTTTTAAATTGAATTTTATCTTCAGTATTAAAGTCATATGAAACTTAAAATTTAAAAAAAAAAATGAATATTTTTATATACTTGAATGGCTAAGTTTTTACTTCAAAACAAGTGTACCTGAACTTTCTTGTGAATGAAAATCATTTATATTATCAAATCTTCATAAATGTACTACTATTGAATTATTGACTTCCTTATTCTAATTTGCCGATATTTTCCCGTATGCAGTAACCTAAACTATGAGATCTCTCGTTAGAACTTCAGCCACCGCACAGCTCAAGTTTGAGGGAAAAACCTTGATGACAGAATGTAAACAAATGTGGAATGGAAGATAAATAGTATTATTATATACTTAGTAGTATATACAGATAAATTGTATGTGTAATACAATCATTGGCAAGCGTGCTGTATCAGCCACCCGTGATGATATCGATATCAGCACGGTTGCAAAGGCTTTATCACACCTTTAATCTGTATGACGTCACGTCATCGATTGCAGTCACTGTTGCAAAGGCTTTATCAAACCCCTAATCTGTATGACGTCATGTCAAACCTCTATTCTGTATGACGTCATTTCAACCCTCCCCCCCCTCCCCCCCCCCCCCCCCCCCCCCCCCCCCTTTATCTGTATGATGTCATGTCACATTAAACACATCTACGTGAGGTATATGTATATAATAAAGTGTATATGATATAGCTTTTTCAATATCACACACCGTATCAACCCTCAACCAATATAATCCCTCGAGCAGAGCTCTTGGGATTATATTGCTGTCTCGGGTTGATACGGATGTGATATTGGAAAAGCCATATGATATTCTCTATATAAATTATCCTTAAAGAACAAATCTGATACAACAAATCATTTAATAACTGTAACTCTGTTAAGGAAAAGTTTAGTTATGGGAACGCATGGAAAATATAAAAAGTTCTATCAAATCACTTATTTGTCACATGCTCCTCATGTTCTGTGTTGATTGTTTATCAATGTCATGATCTGGTAAACTTCATCAATGTCATGATCCGGTAAACTTTGGCAATGAACTCGAAAGTTGATTAGCTTGCAATCAACAATCACTGAATGAAATATTATTTCTTGATAATACATTATAGATTCGTAATACATAACTATAAAAATCATGCGTACGACACTTAGTTTAGTATATATGCATGCATTGAAATAATTATTTCAATAACATTAAAATTACAAGAAACTTGTTTCATATGACCTTAAAAATGATGAACTGTCTATTCTATAACTAAAGAAAGTTTTGCAAAAATATTATTTTCACCAACACCTAATGAACTAAACCATCTAACAATAGCATCATATCAAAAATTTAGAACATGTGTTAAGTGTGACTTCTGAACTTTGAAAAATCTATCTGTTGATGAATTCAAACCCCACACCACTACTTAACACCAAGATACCTTAAAATCTGAACATTAACATACAACACCTCAATTATCATCTTTGCACCATAAAATACAAGTCACAAGTCTTTTAACATCTTTTTGGCATATATCAAATAGTTCAATTTTTTTTTATGAAATTCAGTGGTAATATTGTTTTTACTTTGTATCATATTACCTTTTTATACCTTGGTTAGCATCTCTACTATGACCTTTTAACCAGTTAAATGGGTCAATATCCCTAATGCACCACAAAATGAGGAAGACAACAATTAATAGTAATAAAAAACCTCTATACAATGATATTGGACATAATGCTGTTCTTAATAATTGACTGAGCTTACCCATCATCATCATTTGTGTATTTTGAAGAGCAGAAGACAGAACAATAAAGATGTAAAAACTTTGGAGTTATCAAATTTTTGTAAAGAACTGAATTTCCAGAGAATTTAACTATAAGAAAAAAGAGACTTTTTACTCGCTGTAGCCACATCAAATCGGGCCTTTTGGAGTTTTCCAATTTCTGAAAAATCTTACCACACTTTGTACCCAGAAAATTTAACAACATTTGTGAAAATGTCTCAACTTCGAAACATTTCCAAGTTAATGATATGGATAGAAGAATGGATGAAAAGGCTACCAATGTCACCTTCCTGTAATGAAATCCACATATTGACCAAACTGAGATCAGGGCATCTATTGGAGTGCATGTAGTTCATATCTAGATCCATTCTTTGATATGATTTAAGACACATATTTTTTTACTTTTACTATATTAACAAGGTCTGACACACAGACTTTAGCAGGATTTTCTTGTTGTGTTGAAGACCCATTGGTGGCCTTGGGCTGTTTTCTGCTCTTTGGTCAGGTTGTTGTCTCTTTGACACATTCCCCGTTTCCATTGTCAATTTTATTTACAATCAAGTTATCAAACATACATTTAGTTTTTACTGTACATACCAAAGGCCCTTTAGGTTCCCAGTCTCTTTGTGGTTGAAATGCTTTCTTAGGATCCACTACAAAAACATAAAGTAACATTAAAATGTCTAATTAAACTCTAAGTAGTCTGATCTTTTATACATTCCCTTCACTTTCAACTTTTTTTTTCTAAAAATATACAACCAATTGGAATTCTTTATTAAAGTAAACCCGTCATCTTTGTCATTAAACTGTATAGAAAATTGGGGCATGACAAATAAAATGCAGATTTTTTTATTTGTTTATTGGAAGAAAAGTATGTTCGAAATATAAAGAAATTTTATCATGTCTAGTATGAACAACAGTATAGTGATGGGACGGGCTGGAGATGCAGGTTTGGTTGACATTGCTTCTAATAATAGGGTTTTGAAATAGATCATTCAGATATATTGTATACTGTAAAATACTGAGTTGCAAATCCAGAAAAAAAACATGGTGAGGTCCATACCACACTAGCACTACACTTTGGTGTGAAAATGGAGAATTTTTTTTAATGAATTAATATTGTGAAGTGGTTTATTTTTAAAGAAACAAAAGTTTGCAATTTTTTAGGACCAAAGCTGTTCATGAGGTTTTTATTTACATGTGTTCTTTGTCCTTGCATCTGATTTTGCCTTTAGATCAAATTTACCCCAATGGTTATTCTTCATGGTTTTATTTAAGTAACCAAATTAATGCAAATAAATCCTTGAAGAAATATCTAACATCACAGTATCACCCCTCAATTATCCAGTCATTGACCCCCCCCCCCCTTTTTTGATTCAAAAATTAGATTTACCACTATTTCTTACCCACTAGTTTTATTGAGATATGTAAATTAGCTTATGTATAAGTGCAAAAAATAACATGTTAAAGCTTAAGACAATAAAATAATAAAACTAGAACTATGTAAATAAGAAGATGCGGTATGAGTGCCTATGAGACAACTCTCCATCCAAGTCACAATGTATAAAAAGTTAACAATTATAGGTCAAAGTACAGCCTTCAATATATGTGGTTATTTTCTGTATATAATAAATATTTCAGGATTTAGAGATGATTAGGATGAGGAAGCTGTGAATTATGTGCAAAATTATAAAGCAGGCAGAAAATATTGAAGATTGGTAGATCAATTAAGGGAAAAACTTACTAGTAACCCCAAAATCAACCGTAGCATATACACCCTCTAGGTTACCACACTTAAGATAGCCATCACCACTCCCGTCAGTGGTTATTAGAATAACCTCATGACCTAGATGGGCCAAAGCCTTTTCACGTAGATATCGTAGGTAATCATAATCACAAGCAAAATAACTGCCATATTCATTTTCAATCTGAAAAGCAGACCACAGAATATCATCATAGATAATCATACAAGAAATAAGAGGAAAAAACAAACACTATAAATCTGACAGCACACACTTGTACCTAAGTAAAAGAAAAACAGAAGCAATAAAACCTGCCTTAGCAACCATTTTCCTGGTTTTCATCTGTTTTTACTTTACACATGATTCTTTCAAGAGATTGATAGAAATCCACAAACAAGTATTCTGTATGACAGTTTGGTTTTCAGAAAGATTAAAAAGTATGAGTATAAATACAGCAGTTTCTATGATAGGAAATATAGAAGTGGAAAGACAATGTTGAAGTAAAATTCTTCAAGTTGTTAGTTTTAATATTTTACATATTGATTTGTATTTCTGCAATTCAAATGTTATGTTTCTACGAAATAATGTTTTCTACAATATTTTAAAGGTACCTTGAATAAAATATGCTTTGTATTTGAACAAATTTGATTTTTTTATCCATCTGGGCTCTCGGTCATAAAACTTTACTCAGTACTCGGAGTACAAAATTTGTGCTCGAAACACCAAATCCATGATTTTGATTGGTTGATTTCTGTGTCTGAGTACGAAAATCGTGCTCGAAAGTTTTATGACCGCAAGGCCAGGAAACTAATTGCCTCCAGATTTTTACCAGGAAAAATTACATGTAGGTGTTACTGTACACTAATTGAAATTAAATTGTGTACTAAATTACAGAAAAGTGTTTAATATTTATAATCTGAGGAAACATAATAAATTAATATAATGAAATAAAGCAAGCTGTGAAAGTACAGAAATGTTTTAGCCAATTTGTTGTGAGCGGTGTTATCAACAGATTAATTCAGGTAAATGATTGCCATATACAAATACATGTAATTGTGTTATTAGTTTTTAAAAAAAAGTTCTCCATTACATAGTATGCTTCTCATATTTTCTTCAAATATTCTACCAAGGAATTGACTATTGATTTAACATTTACAACTAAGCTGTTCGGTATTAATCAAACGAAAATTAAAAGCACCATTTTTGTGTGATTTGAATTACCAAAAGAAAAAAAAAAACTAAAAAAGCAACCATGCATACAGTTTTTCTTTTCATAATTTGTTTCTGACTTCGTTTTAGAAAGTTAGATATGTAAATTCAATATCAAATTTTATTTGGATTTTTGTTGGATTATTTTTTTATTAACTAGCATAGAAAGTTCTATTAAATGATTATTAAATTTGCTATATGTGTAAATATGAATGAGAAACATACAATGCACATGTACACTATTGATAAAACTAGTTCCTATAAAAACAACGTAAAACGCAATTGTTTCAAGGATATATATTCTTTCCATTTTTTGTCACTTCAGATCAGAAGTTAAATTTTTAAATTATACAATTTTTAAATCTACACCTATGAAATATTCTTATTGCAAAGATAACATATTGAGATCAAACAGATAGAATCTATATCTAAAACAATTGCAAACAAATTGGCTATTTAAAGCTGCTGCAACAGTTGTCTCCACTTACAAGTAGGATGAAAATCTATTGTGGCATATACTCCTTCAATAGTGCCACACTTTAACTCAGGGCTGTCATGGTTACCATCTGTGGTAAATATAACAGCATTTTTGCCTAAAAGTGAAAATGCTTTATTCCTCAGATGTCTAATATAGTCATGATCACAGTATCCCCCTGTTCTCTTATAACTACCATATTCATTTTCTATCTGAAAAATAATGTTCTTCTGTTATATCAGTTCTTTTTCTATGCTGAAAAAAAAGAATGATAATATTGTGTGGATATAAACTGTTTGATACTGGTGTTAAATTCTTCTGTAGAATTTAAATGCAGTCACTAAAACGATAAAACATTCAAGTCATAATGTAGCTGACACTATAGCTATATATATGTGCATAATGAAATATTTGGCTGGTTTTGTTTAAGGCTTCAATAGATCAAATACAGTATTAAACAGTGTCTTTAAGAATAAAGTCAGTTGTGATAATATTTTTCTTCCTGTTTTGAACAAAGCAACCAGGTCAGCGTTTCTTCACAAAGAAAATGAGATGTGGGGTACCATGAGACAGCAACCAAATGACAAAAATAACCAAAAGAAATCTAGAGGGCAACATACAGTCTATAACAATAGACGAGTGTCTATACAGTTTGTCAGCTCTATTCTTTTGTGTAATTTTAAAAGGACAAGTATTATTAACAAGACACCACACGCTGAAATGTCTCGCCTGCTTTACTGACCATTGATTTTATTTTGAAAGTCTTAAAGATAAAGGTTTTACTACAAGTATCACATAAACTTAACATTTTTACAGATCCATGACAATGAGGTCAAGGTCAGATAAAAACTGTCACACAGACATGTACACCTTACAATTATTCCATATATCAAATATAGTTGGCCCATTGCTTATGGTAACTGAAAAACAGGCCAAAACACAAAAACTTAATGTTAACCAATGAACCATGGAAATGAGGTCATGGTCAGATGAAACCTGCCAGACTGACATGTACCCTTACAATCATTCCATACACCACATATAGTTGACCTACTGCTTATAGTATCTGAGAAACGGACCTAATCATGTGACTTTAACCTGAATCACTAGTCCATGAAATGATGTTGAGGTCAGGTTAACCATGTCTGACAGACATGTAGACATTGCAAGGAACCCATATACCAAATATTGTTATCCTATTACTCATATTATTGGAGAAATTCACATGACAAAAAAAATATAATTTTTTTTCTCAAGTAGTTGCTGAACCATGAAAATGAGGTCAAGGACAATGGACATATGACAGACAGAAACTATAACATGAGGTATCTGCATACAAGGTATGAAGCATCCAGGTCTTCTTTCTTCTGAAATATAAAGCTTTATATAAGTAGTTTACAACGACGCCACCATCACAGCCTGAGCGGGATGGTAATCCCTATGTCTCGCATACTGCAACTTTCATCACAGACAAGACAAAAACCATGCAACAGATGATTGGTCTCCAAAGAAAACTTTTTAGCTAACAAAATATAATAATGGGAAGATAATACATAATTTAAAAGTAAAAATTTCAAACCAAAACTTTAATATGACCTATAGTGTTCATGAAAATCAATATTATTTCAACTACTGTAAGTTCAGAAATTTTTGCATACATCTATTATTGTGATTTTTGAACAATTGACAAAAATTTGAGATTAATTATCGCAATTACAGAGAATGGTGCATCCAAATAATGCTATAATGATTTAAAAAGTGATTTTTTTTTAGTTTTGCAAAATCTATTCATCGCAATTTTCACTACAATATAATCATTGCAAAAATTTCTGAATTTAGTATTTTACAGTATTTGATTGCATTTGTAAGTGTCTTCATCTATTTAGTCATCTTAATAATAAGATTTTTCATAAAATTTCCATTAAAATAAGATCTGTATGAATTCTAGAAAGACTTATTAGTGAATTTGAAATACTAAAACAGACACAACATTTTTGTGACAGCAAATATAAATATTACATACCTGAACCATTAACACTGGCCCACCATTTATGTACAGCAAAGGCTTTAACATTGGATACAACACCTCTAACCACTTGTCAACATACTTGATATAGGCTAGTAAATTGAAAATGTAAGCATTTTATTCATTAAATAAATATTTTAAAAAATTAGAAATTATTGAGTAGATGCTTATATTGAACAAAATTCTACGGAAATGCATTTTTCAATCGTTCATAAAATGAAAAGTCTGCAGAAAAAAAGATAAAAGAAATATATGTTGACTGTTATTTCTATTTTATCTTTTTTCTTTTAGTCATTATGTTGGTTTTTTTTTCAATGGTTTATATTTCCCCATTGGTATCAACTTACTTTTTCTTGTGAGAATTGTGAAGCTTTTACATACTTTTAAAAGTCTTAAAATTATTAACTTCAGTTATATACACTGCAAATTTTCTAGTAATTCTAAAGTGATTCATGGACTTTATTCAAGTTTTAAAAATCTTTTATACTAGGAATAATTGATAACAGAATTTAAAATTGCTGTGTCTGGCTTTTGTAATTTTTTTTGCTTGGAAGAAAATCTAACCTCAGTACAAAATGTAGGTACAACTTACTTGAATCCATGGTGCGGAATACTGTATTAGGGTTCTTGGCTAATATGTATGGAGGAAATCCACCCTGAAATATATTACAGTTCATTACAGCATATTCAAAGTATCATGTACTGTTTTCCTGTTATACTGAGACTATAGAACTAGGTCAAGTAATATTACATATAACTCAACTAACAAATGTACAGTGTAATCACACTACAAATTATTGGCATTAGATTCAACTTTAACAGTAATTTACAAATTGACCTCTGACATTGCAACATCTTTATCTGAATTATCTTTACTTGTAGTAATTGTGAAAACAATCTAATACAAAGCAAATAAAGTCAACAAATAGACCAATGAAAATGAGATTTTTAAGCCAGGTGACCTCTTTCAGACATGATTCCTTAAACCAAAAAAAAAAAAACGTTGACCTATACTTTTACAGAGAAACTTGTTAAAATGATAAAAACTAAACATGGATCATTAAACAATAATAAAAGAAATCAAAGCCTAGTAACCTCGATAAAATAAATGGATTGGTGTCTTCATCTTACAATGATTATCAGAAAAAAGATCCAGCTAAAAGTGTAATTACTTACAAAGTCCCACTCTCCACAGATATAGGGCCCTGCTCTAAGTATTACAAACAAGTCAACTTCCTGTGCCTGCTTTATGAATCCAACTAAATCCTTGTCTCCTTCAAAATTTAACTTGTTCTCTTCCATCTGATGGAAATTCCAAGGTACATATCTGAAAGTAACAAATTATTTCACCTTCTTTGCTCAGAAATCTGTATAATTTGCTAAAATTCAATGAGCAAGTATTTTGTTCATATGCTAATTGTTTTCAAATTAATAAGGCGATACAAAGGGGCAATTCACATCATAAGTCAAATAAACACAGATAACACCTTACCTAAATTAAAGGTAATGGTACCAAGATATTTTTTGGTAATCATTTAAATCTTAGACTAGTTTCAATATGCAATGATATCATCAATTCTAACATCCTGTCCTAATCTTCAATGTTAAGCTGAACCAATGATTCCCTTTGTAATAAGTATAGCAGATGATCACTATCAGCACACTTCATACTTGTTTCTAGATTGAATAGATAAATTTTGGTAATTTATTTGGAAAACTTGGTAAATATACATCCTAAAGTCTAATGGACTACCTACACTTGTATGGCATTCAAGCCAGCAGCTCTCATTTTCTGTAATCTGTCTTTCCAGTAATACGAAGGTATCCTGCTATAATGTATACTGCCAGAGACATAGCGGAAAGGTTTTCCATCCATACGGAACATGTTGTTATCATAATCAATTGTAAATGTTCTGTTTGCCTGAAGATAAAGAAAACTATTAACTCATTTCATAAGCAAATAGCTTTTCCCTATTTGACTATGTACAATGGTTGCAGTATTGATTGGTTCGAAAGACACCTTAAAGTCTTGACGGTTTACTCATGAGAACTAAACATACCTGCCAACCTCTGGAAGTAAAGATTCAGGTTTTAACTGCATTGAATAATAAAATATCTGCAGGGTCAAAATGTGTTTAAAAAATGGTGGCTCCTGAACGTGAATATTCTCTAGAACAGGACAATGGATAAAAAAACCTTCAAATTATGTATGCAGCCTATAAAAATATCTTTTAATATCTTTTAATGTGTTTAGTAATTGTTTTTTTTCCAAAAAAATTATTTTCAATTCTCTCAGAAATATTGATAATAAGCATGTGGGTAAGATTTTGAAGGTTGAATGAATACTTTATTTGCAAGAAGCATATACATGCTATGGCAAATGAAAAAATATGTACAATATATGACAAACAAAAGACAGCAGAGAACAGTAGTTACAAAGTATACAATAATATTATGACAATATAGGTGATCTAATTTTCCAAGCTGCATTTAAATAGTTGCATAGTTTTACTGTCAGAGATTTACAATGAGCTTGTAATAAATTATCTAACTTGTACCGATTTGACCAAGAATAATAAATTTTAGGTAAAAATTCTAATCGCACAGATCTATATGCTGGACATGATAAAACAAAATGATATTCGTCCTCTAAAACATTCATATTGCAACATATACAAATTCTATTTTCTCTTTGAGTATTTAGATAACGACCAACTTCAACATTTAATTTAAGTGTGCCGCTACACAATTTAGTTAATATCGATACATTACAATGGAAATCTAGGTATTTTTCAACACCAAATACTAGTTTATATCGTTTATAAATACATAATTTGTTACACTCTTCTAAAGCTGTATTCCAGCTTTGTAAAAAATGATCTTTAATACGTGTTTTAACACAATCAAATGATAATTTACTAGTATCTTGTGAAATCCATACATCATTAAATCCAAGGTTACATAACAAATTTTTGACGTTAGACGCCCAATTAATTTTACCATTATTTGCATCTTCGTACAAAAGTTTATAAACTTCATATACAATATCAGGTTTATTAGTTACAATATGAATCCAATATTTCAGGATTTTAAATTTTCTCAAAATATGCAATGGCAAATGCCCAAGTTCACCATATAAAAAATTTGTAGGGACTTTCTTGCCAAGTTTCAAAACAAATCTACAAAATCTATTATGTATAAGCTCTATATCACCAGCACGATGAAAACCCCATATTTCAGCCCCATAACTTAAAACGGATCCAACCATACTATCAAATAGAAAAATCTGTTGTTCAGTAGTCAGATACAATTGTTTCAAAGAATTTATTTGTGAAGACAACGCTCTTGATCCTTACTGAGATAAACGCTTTTGAGTTTGCAAAAATTTTCCATTATAGTGGAGCAACACACCGAGGTATACATAGGAGTGGAGCAACACACCGAGGTATACATAGGAGTTCACAATTTCTAATTCTCTGTCATTGTAATAAAAACGGTTTACCACAGGCCTCCATCCATTTCGAAAAACAATAACCTTTGTCTTCTCCGTGTTCACTTCTATGTTCCATTTATTACAATATAATAGTAATTTATCAAGTAAATGCTGCAACACATTCGGTGATTTTCCAAAAAGTACAGTATCATCAGCAAATAAGATCAAATATATTAAAAATCCACTTAAAGACACAATGTTATTATCTGATTCAACAGAAATATCTTGAATAATGTTGTTAATAAAAAACAAAAACAGCAGAGGAGATAGAGGTTCCCCTTGTTTAACACCAAGAAAATTATCAAACGCATCTGACAGCACTCCTCCGGATCATACACGAAGACGCACTGAAGAATATAAAGTTTTAACAATAGATACAAATTTATTACTTATGCCATTATTTAGCAGTTTGTATATTAAAATTCTTCTGTGTAGCTTATCAAAATATTAGAATATAACCTCTTTGATATCAGGACACAGGTAGTCAAATTAGGACAAGTTCCACCAACAAACAGGTTCAAGAAATGAAGCATACAGGTAGAGTGTGTCATTAATAATCATGAAGGAAGTGTTTTATAAGTGTATGTATAACTGTGGATCTTTTCTAGTTGTGTTCTTTGTCCTTTCAGAGTAAATTCACAAGTGTAATAATTCCATGACAACTGTTCTCTAGGACTTTATTTTTGACGGAATAACAACACACTAGTGTGAAGACGATATATTATACTAGTACACTTTGACATTTTGTAGTGCAGAAAATCTACACATCTGAATAAAAGAATGCTTTAACATAAAATTAAAAACTTATGGCTACTAAATTCTGCCTCAAATAGAAAGGAAAATACTATGAACACAAACATTGATATGAAAAAATATGTCCCTGACTGCTCTTCTTCATCATTTGTTCATATGATTTATTTCAGCCAGTTGTTTTAGAATTTTGTAAACAAATTTAAACAGGCAATATACTTCTACAGGTAGAGACAACATGGTATGGGATGAAATCTTTTAAATATTTTACAGGTTGAACATGAAATGATCCTACCTGACCACTTTAGAAGTGAAACATTTCAATTTCAAAATTTTATTAACTCATGGAGGGGCAGAACATGTCACTGCAATGCATACTCCTAACAGGGATGGGGTAATCGTAATCTGTAATCGTAATCGATTGTAATTGATTACATTTTCCCCAGTAATCGACAGTAATGTGTAATCGAAGACATTTTCGATTACATGTAATCGTAATTTAATCGATTACGGCAAAAATTATGATGTAATCATCGATTACTTTTCGATTACATTTCGATTACTTTGAGATATAACCTATTTTAAATAAAAATATGTATGTACATGATGTATTCATCACTTTATAGTACAGATAAAATAGAATGTATTACATTGTAATATGACTTAAGAGTTTATCAACTGCCTTATTTCTATCTATTATCTCAAGCTGCATTATAATCAACTAGATCCCCTACCAAATTTTACTTGATATTTAGGTTTTGAAACAAATGAACTTATGTGCTTGTCAATAATTCAAGACCTTTTATATTAAAATATGAAAATAGATTTAAGTTAAGAAATGAGTCTTAAGTTAATATCTGTTCTACATTAAAGTAGTAAGCTTATTTGTATTAAAATTGCTTTAGGCATAATTTTCAATAAGAGTTGGAATTTTAGCTTTGAATAGATAAACAGTAACTGTTGATCTTACAATGTTATGATAAAAAAAGTTAAGAAAGTACACCAAATCCTTTTGACAATGAACCAATGGGTATGCATCGAAATTCTTTTTTTCAGATATAGATACATGTATCCCTTTTTGACACAATAAATATATATTGTTTATAATTTGATTAGAGAATAAAAAATTTAACAAACTTCTTGTCTTTACTAATCAGAAGTTCAGACTTCTAATCAATAAGATGCAGACTTTGTTTTCATTTCAATTATGTCTAATTAAGAAGGAGATTTACATTATTTTTCCCCAGGTTATAAATTGTACTCCATTGACAGTTTTATAACCTGTAATTAGGGTGGTTATCCAAACATAAGGATTAATTCATTTATGTCATTATAACTATAATTTCAATCTTTAAAATTTGCTGAACTAATTAATTATTCTATGGTTTTAAATTTTTTTTCAAAGGAAACTTACAACATTTTAATCATCTATGTTAAAATATACCTGTTTTAACAAGTATAAACAAAAAAGCTAACTTAAGTAAGAATGAAAGCAAATTTTTGAAAAAACTTACAATATAAATAACTGATTGATGCAATGCGATGTCATCTCTTATTTATCTTGACAGCCAAAATTTCAAGAAATTTTGAATATTTCTGACCTTCAGTATGATATTCCATCTAGAAAACAACTGTGAACTTAAAATTTGGTAACAATGCTTTAAATGCTGTTTTAGTAAAGTTCTAAATTTCGACTATAAAAAACGTTGAGCAACATAATTGTGTATAACTTACTTTATTATTTTTTTTTGTAATTTTGTAGCATGTAATTGACAGTAATCGAAAAGTAATGTAATTACTTTTGATAAAGTAATCGATTGCAATCGATTACAAACAAAAATTAGAGTAATCGATTATTAATCGATTACACAAAAATCCTTCATGTAATCGATTATTAATCGATTACATATGTCAGTAATCGTGCCCATCCCTGACTCCTAACATCTATTTTATTCATTTATATGTTCTGCTTAATTTCAAAGAATTGATTTATAAACAGTGCTACAACAGATTGCTTAGCTATTTTTTATGTTTTTGTTGTCTGATTATTTTTTCATGCTTAGGATTTATGTTTTGCATGCATGTCATGTCTTCTCAATGACAATATATTAATTGTTTTATGTTAATATTTGCCAATGTCAATAATATAGCTCAGTAGAAGGTGTACTTTCTATGTATAATCATATATGTAATAGCTATTATATCTATGGCATAATGTTGTAAACATGTTCTACTTCAAAAACGCTTTTTTTATTGGTATTTTGTACACACAAACATAATGTGGATTATTTTTCTTTTAAAAGGGGATTACACACAGTACAATATTTTTAAAATAAAACTAGAGGCTCTAAAGAGCCAGTGTTGCTCACCTAGTTCTATATGCATATTCATCAATGGACACTTCTCCAACATTTGAGACTAGAATATTCTTCAAGACTAAAATCTCTTTTGTTGAATCTGTATTGCAGATCATATTTTCTGTTTAAAGTTTCTATCTTCAATAGGTATTATCCAAAAAACAAAAAAGTGTTAAAACTGTCTTGAGAGCAATAAATCCAATAAAACAGACCTGCCAACTATCCTGATTTTGGCGGTATCATCCCCATTTTCATTCCTCAATCAGAATCCCTATATCAGGATCGTAAAACAAGTCAAAATCCAGATTTTCACAAAATCTACCCACAAAAATTGTTGGTTACCGATTTTGAAGTTTTTCTGATCAATTTCTATAAATCTATAATTTTACCTGGCAACATATTTATGACAAGTTTACGACCCCAAGTTAATCAATGGTCACAACAGGTGTCATAATCTGTCGTTACAGGTAATCTACTTATCCGATGGGTCATAATGATCCTCAAAATTAATTAATTTGTAAATAGAATCGGTCAGTTGACATTTCAATTTTAATCAATTTATCATGCGATCACAATTTGCAACGTTTACCGTAGTATCATGACAAAAGCGTAATTAACTGAAAGACGAAAACTGTAATGAACTCATTATGAAACATCGCTTATCTTGAAATCTGTGAAAATTTTTGTAATCAGACGTGTTTCTGTCCAGTTTTGATTTAAAATCGACACCATATTGTATTCACTTCTACTATGTATAAGCCACAGCCGGTAGGAGCACCTTTGAATACCAAGAAAGGGGGGGTCTTCATTTTGTATCCTTTATTTTATTAGGCTATTTTTCTCTATTCTTAAGTTATTTTGCCAATTAATAAGTACAAGAATCATGCAAATAAAAGAAATCAAGGCTTGTTAGCTCATCATCAGTCTACCAAAAGAAAAAAAAAGAAGAATTAAAAATCATTTGTTCAGAGAACAATTGAAGGTCTTTCCACCCGAAACGATATATTTTGATGTGAAAAATATTAAAACTCGGTTAGAAATGTAATTTTCAGTGTCAAATGATAGCTTATTATACGCTGAATTTAAAAATATATGGTTTCTAAACATTTTTGTTTGAAATATGGGGAATAATTTGTTACTTCCGGTTTGAAAAAGGTCACTTCCGGTATCATTTGATAGTTTACTTGACACTGATTCCAAAAATATATGGTTCTATGTACTTTAACATTAAATATGGACAAGAAATAGCTACTTCCGGTTTACAAAAGGTCATTTCCGGTTGATTTTTTCAAGGTCATATGGCTTGCAACTTAATGCACAAAGTACCATAGCTTTATCAGGCATACATTAAAAGTTAAAGCAAAGGTCAAAATCTAGAACGTCAAATCAAACTTTGACCTTGACCCTAATTTCAAGGTCATGAAACAAGGGCCTCAAATCAAAACACTCTAGGTCTCTACTATATATTGTTAATGAGTTATATTACCATACAGCTGATATTAGATATAAAAGGGGCGAAAACTCCCATTAAATGTCTATGTACCCTTTAAACTAAAATTTACGTGTTACGACATGTCGCAACTAACAATTCTGTAAAAATATTTTGTCGATATTGTGTACAATCTCTGAAAATAAGAGATACAACATGTAACAAGCCAAAATCAAAATTTAGAATATGACCTTGACCTTTGACCTTGACCTTACAGGCCTCTACAATAACTTTTTTTTCAACTTGTCCAGTAGGACAAGTACATACCAAAACTTACTTGTCCGAATGAAATTGTAACTTGTCCAAAAAAAAAATCTTAATAATAACCTTTTTTGCAATTTAAGTTGATTGAATTAAAACAATAGAACAGAATTTGATTTTAACATATATTTTGCAATACTTTTAAAAAATATAAGTCGTGAAGAACTTAATCTAGTAATGTCACAGGACTTAGGTTCTAGTTTTCATCAATGCCAAAGTCTCATCAGACTCTGCACATGAGGCACCATCTGATAGGATTGCCAATGTACACTCGTTGGATTTGTATCCTGTTTTTTTAAGTTGAAAAAAGTTTATTCAAATGCAATCAATAAAAAAAAGAAGATGAGGTATGATTGCCAATGAGACAACTCTCTGCAAGAGATCAAATGACACAGAAATTAATAACTATAGGTCACCGTATTGCAAGTACTAGTACTGTTTTTTTCTACATATGATCAAATATGATTTAGTGAATTTTATGGTAAATAATTTCGTTATTTTTATTTAAAAAATATTTTTGTTAAAAAAATAACCGGTATGGTATTTATTATAAAGCAACAGAATAAGGTAGGAAAACGAGGTACTGATTTGTCTTGGTCCCAAAATGTCTCCTGCGTTACCAAACTGTCTATTAATTATGTCTATTAAATATGTCTCCTACGGTGCCAAACTGTCTATTAAACTTGGAAGGAATCGCTTCCGAGCTGGTGACGAACTGTCTTGTAAAGTTACCTCATCTATAAAGGCAGGATCAGTAAGACTGGTTTCCGAGAACCTGTTAAAAAGTACCTGACAAAGAACCAGTTTTAAATTATCGATTGCAAGTAAACATGTCAAATTAATACTTGTTTTTATCTTCTTTTCTTGATTTTTGTTTATAATTACTTTGTTCATCAAAGTTGGATTAAATTTATTTTCTGCAGAATAATTTTACTTGTCCCGTCGGACAAGCTTGATATAGCTTTTACTTGTCCGACCTTTTTTTCCTCTGGTACCGGACAATCGGACAAGCGTTATTGTCGAGCCCTGCCTTATTTTCTTTTTTTGAACCGAGGACCTCAAATCAAAAGACTTCAGGTCTCTATAAGTTATGGTTTTTTAGTTACAAATGCACATCATTTATATCAAATGCATAAGGGGAAATAACTCTCATATGGAGTCTCTGGATAGCTTCAGTCAAAATTAATCAAATCATTCTGAGGATATAATGAGCAATTTGGTAAAATAAATTAGTCGGTTTCTTATGCGGTTGCTACGTATAAGTAATAACAAGAAAAACAGTGTTCAGGGAGATAACTCTTATATGGGAAAGTATTCGGTTACGCGGTGTCAGTTTCAAAAGCGTATTAAACTGTTCAATATCATATACCATATGTCTAAGCGACATCTTACGAAACAAAAAAACAGCAAAGTAAAAAAATTAGGCGGAAGAAAAAAAATAATAATCAGAACAAAACCAATAGGTCTTTCCACGGAAAAGTGGAAAGACCTAAATTTGAGACTATTTCAAGAGTATAAAACCGTGCACACAGAAACGCCGCAAAAATGTTAACCCTTAAAAATCTGGTCGCACACTAAATCCCCCATGGGGATTTTCAAAAGTTGGCAGGTCTGATGAGAAGACAACTGTCATATTCATCAACAACAAAAAATGTATATGTAAGCTAGATAACCTATTTGCATATTTTGTCTTGCTCATCATTTTTGCTTTTTGAAGTTTTTATCTATCTTTTATAGATTTATGATCTTTGTATAAGCTAACGTACGAGGAAGACGACGGACGCCAAGTGATGCCAATAGCTCACACTGGCCCTTTGGACCAGGTCAGGCAGTTAGAGTGTTCGAGGAATTAGCGTTGGTCAAAATTAAAATTTGATGAAAACGTTTTAAACCAAAAAATAAGTTATCTTTTGTAACAAATACCTTTGCTACATGCATGATCATTAATAAACAGATGAAAATGAAAGTTGGTAACATGTAGGTCGCCATTTTCAATTATATTGTTGAAGTCATGTGATTAGGTCATATGACTGTATTATGAATTCGTCCCTTTTGAAAGTCCGTCCCTGTAATTGATAAAGGATTTCAGTAAAGTCGGCATATACACTGGGAATAGTACACTATTGACAACAGAGACTTATATACACATCTCTCGGCTAACAATAAGATAAGATAAGACGAATCATTTTATTTCCAGTAGTGGACCCTTTATGGGCAAAATCAGTATAATGATTATTATAGTAAACAATAACAATATAACGTCACAGTACCCAAATTGCTCCGAGTATCCAAATTGCACCCATTTAAGCAAAAATGAAGCAGCGGAAATCTTACAAGTTTTCTTAAAGATTAAACAATTTGCATTTTTTATGATTTGACATTATGCACGTCTTTATAGCTAAATATATTCGAATATACATAAAACATTCACAGTTATGATAAGAAGGGCAAAAGATACCTAAGGGACATTCAAACTCATAAGTCGAAAATAAACTGACAACAGCATGGCTAAAAAAGAAAAAGACAAACAGACAAACAATAGTACACAAAACACAACATAGAAAACTAAAGACTGAGCAACACGAACCCCACCAAAAACTGGGGGTGATCTCAGGTGCTCCGGAAGGGTCAGCAGATCCTGCTAAACATGTGGCACCCGTCTTGTTGCTCATGTTAGCACAATCGGTAATAAGTCTAATTCGGTAGGTCACATTCGGGAAAAGGGGACGGGATTGTAGTTACGACTTTAGGAACATATCCACTACCATCTGTGAAAAGGATATTTCGTAACGATCAACCAACTCGTGATGGCGTCCGTAAAATTTACGAAGGGATGATTTCAACTTCACCACTTGGAACTCTTGGTTTAATAGCTTCCTTGTGAGCAGCAACCCTCTATCAAGGAAATCATGATAGGAAATACAAGCCCTAGAGTATCTTATCAACTGGGAGATATATACTCCGTATGCAGGCGCTGCTGGAATGTCACAGTGCTACATTAAAATGGATAGTTCACAATCGGGAAGCAGATTATCAACAGATTTTAAAAGTATACACTGGAAAAAGTAAAATCTACGGAAACACGACGTCCACAAAAAGTCAACTTTTTAAAATGATCAATTAAAATATGTTACAGACATCCATTTCTTAAAAAATGAAAATTAAGCATGGGCTATTGTCAAGATGTTCTAAATATTTAGAGAAATAAAACAAAACATAAGCTAGTTATTCGAATTTTACGGAGGTGAATTTAAGCATGGATGCAATTTGGGTATTCCTCATTACAGAATCAATGTTCATGGATCGTTTGGAGCTCGGTACAAACCCATTTTTCTATGATTTGATATAGATTCAAAATTAAATTGGGGGACTATATAGTTAATAAGGATACATCTACAAA